GGAGCGTTCAGGGGTGATTGATAGTCACCTCAAATTAGGATGTTGATTGAAATGTTAATTTTTTAAAAGTAGTTGAACCTATTGCCAGTGTGACAGAACTCAAAGGAGGGGAAATATAGTGAACCCAGTGAAGGAAAGCTCTTCTATTTGCATGTTTGCAATAAATAAATAGTTATTGAAAAAGTCACAGAGTCTCTGGTGTTAATCTGACAGTACTCACATTTTACTGTCTGTCCAGTTTTTCTAGGACTCAACAGAACCTAACAAACATCTAGGATATTGTTCATAGTGACACCTGGGAAATGCTGCTGTCCCCATGCAATGTTTCAGCATGGAGGGCTTCAAGTGATCACTTAAGAAGTGTATCCAGGAGGAGCTCATTACCTCTGTAATGACCTTTAGGTTCAGGATGACAAACTGCAGCTTCTCTTGTCATTTATCCCACATGCGCGCTTTTAAGTCTCATTGCCATTACTCATGTTTTACTGAAAGGGCCTGAAAGAATGAAAGTAAGAAATGATTACTTGCTTAATACCACTAAAAGGCTAGGTTTCCCAGTCCTGTCTATCCCAGTTCTATCTATTTACTGTTGGTTTTATAACCTTAAGGCTTTATAACCTTAAATCCCCAGAAACTATAAAGTAGCTAGCCAGCTTTACAGGTGACACCTTTTTTAAAGTGTTTGCCCATTTAATTAATTTAGCTTTGAATTTGTCTTGATTTTGATGGGCTTTAGAACTTCTCAAAATGGGGTGTACTGTTACACAAAACAGTCCTTTGATTCTTATAACCCTGAATATCAACTTGGCTTATGAAAAGTTCTGGGTTCGATGCATGGAGAACACGGACTACGACATGCATTCAGATGCATTTATTGTACTTCACAACAAGACAAGAAAAAACAGCCCTGCAAGGCCAACTATATACACTCCACCTGGCACACCTCTGTCCCCATAAGAGGGTTTGAATTTCCTGCCAAGGGTGCTATTGGTGGACTCGAGATGGACTAGGATCCTAGGTCCCCTTTGTGTTTGGGGACCAAGCTCCTGCTTTAGCCGTGGACCCCTGGTGGCGATCTGCGTATGTAACAGCTTATAACCCAGAATATCAACTTGGCTTTCTGTTAAATACTGGGTTCTAGATGCATGGCAGTGATCAGTTCAGGTTTATTCAGTGATTTCAGCAAAACTACCAGACAAGACTCCAGAGCTCTGTTAAATAGCATGCAATTGCCACACCCAAACACACCTCACTCCCAGTGATAGGCTATTTACATAATATTACTACTTGATTGGTTTATTCCAGAGTCCTGGTCAGATATTGTTCTTGTGCTCCATGCTCAGCCAGTCTCTGGGGTGATTCAGTCAGGGATGATTCAATCCCAATACATAACATTTTCTGTCTTAATGCTGTAGTTCGCATGGGTTTGGGAGAAAAGGGAAGTGGTAGGAAGTCTGTGGAATGTGGTTGTTTTGCTCTAAATCAGGCTTATTAGGGTCTTTTCTCATAACCATTTCCATGGCCATGTATAGTACTATGCACACAATGCTAGCACCCTTTGACTGCTGGTTCTGTGCATGTGTTGCTATGCTAAGATTTAACCTTTTTGCACCCTATCAGAAACATTAAAAAAGGAATAACTGTTATGACATACCAAATATTTGATCATGCATGTAGCAGTTCATATGCAGAAGACAATGCTCACTGCTTTTCCTTTTAAGAACCATATTTACAAAAGTCAGGTAATTTTTGTCAGGCGCCTCCTGGGTCCGTGGAGTAGTGCCTCCTGTGGCCGTGTTGGGAGGGGGGACTGGCGGTCCGGGCGACGACTGGGTCAACAAAAGGGGGCCTCAGATGGGCAGGGGATGGGGTTAAGAGCACCCTGCACGTCCCTCTGCCAGCACGCTGCAACCTTTATCCTCCTCTCTCGCTTGCTTCTTCTCTACCCCCCTCTCTCCCACTCGTAGTCCCAGCGTGCTCCTCCTCCCTGGCCCCAACACCATTCCGCCTTTTATTTCCCTTTTCCCCACTCCTGGGACCGCCCCTCCGCCCCCTGGGCTTGGCCCCGCCCCTCTTCATTTATGGAGACACTGGTAGGGCGTTTCCGGGCTTGGCCGCCCCGCTGCTCCCACCTTTCCAAGCTTGCTCCTGGTCTGTCGGTTCCGTCCTCATGTCCCTCATCGCGGTGGCTGTTCTGCGGGCCCCAGTCCCGTCGCCTTGCCTGGCCGGTGGGGCGTGCATCATGAAGAGTTGCTGCGCCCGTCTCCCGTCCTGGAGGGTCGGGTCCTTCTCCCTGTGGTAAGGTGGGCTGTGGGGGTCTCATGAGGGTCGGCGGGGGTCCAGGGCTCTGGTCCTCTCGGCCCACGACCCCTGGAGCGGGACAATTTTATATGGGCTTTTTTGTTGTTGTTGTTGTTGTTCAGTCACAGTCGAGTCCGACTGTTCGCAACCCCATGGACCAGATAACGCCAGGCCGTCCTGTCTTCCGCCGTCCTCTGAATTCTGCTCAATTTCATGTTCATTGCATCTATGACACTGTCTAACCATCTCATCCTTTGCCGTCCCCGTCTTCTTTGACCTTCAATCTTTCCCAGCATCAGGGTCTTCTCCAGTGAGTGCTCCCTTCTCATTTTGTGGCCAAAGTATTTGAGCTTCAGCTTCAGTATCTGGCTTTCCAGGGAACAGGTTGATTTCTTTTAGGATTGACTGATTTGATCTTCTTGCAGTCCAAGGGACTCTCAAGAGTCTTCTCCAGCACCATAGTTCAAAAGAATCTATTCTTCGGCGCTCGGCCTTCCTTATGGTCCAACTCTCGCAGCCATACATGACTACTGGGAATACCATTGCTTTGACCATGCGGACTTTTGTTAGCAGGGTGATGTCTCTACTTTTTATCATGCTGTTTAGGTTCGCCATTGCTTTCCTCCCAAGGAGCAGGCATCTTTTAATTTCATGGCTGCTGTCACAGTCTGCAGTGATCTGGGATCTCAGGAAAATGAAGTCTGTCACTACTTCCATGACTTCCCCTTCTATTTGCCAAGGAGTGATGGGGCCGAATGCCATGATCCTAGTTTTTTTGATGTTGAGCTTCAAACCCACTTTTGTGCTCTCCTCTTTTACCCTGAGCAAGAAGCTCTTGAGGTCCTCTTCACTTTCTGCCATTAGAGTGGTATCGTCTGCATATTTGAGGTGGTTGATCTTTTTCCCAGCAATCTTAATTCCCGCTTGTGATTCATCCAGGCTGGCATTTCGCATTATGTACTCTGCATATAAATTAAATAAGCAAGCATGCTTAAGTCTCTGTTTGGTTGTGGCTAGGAGGTTTCATTGAGCTTCATAAACTGGCTGTCTCCATACAATACCTGCCTCTGCAAATATATGCAGCAGTTTCAACTCTTTCATAAAGATAAACTAACAGTAGAATATTACAGTTACTCAGGAGGACTCGTTGTTTCCATCTTAACATCAAAGTCAGTTATCTGTGTGCTCTCTATTCCTTGCACAATTTTGAGCTCTAAGTGTTTGCTCTATGACCTCTTTGAATCTCTGGGAGGCCATTTCCTTGTTTTCTGAGTAAATTGAATCAGCTGCTCTAAACAGTATTCTCTGTTAGCAGGACACAATACATACTACCACAGGGGTTACAGTCATCTGAATACACAGTGCTTTATTGCTTCATCCAATGTAGCCTAGCCATATAACTGACCCCAGAGATATGAAGGTCTGTATACAAAGTAAATGAAACAACATGGGAATTAGTAAAGTGACTTACTTTATACAGTCACAGGTAGCCAGCAGCATATTGTGTAAGAAGTGGTTTTTACAGAGGAAGATCCTGCTCTTTCACTCAACTAGTAGGCATATCCACATCGAAAGATACCACCTAAAAGATCAGCAGAGTCCACAGTGCTATCCTAAGCAAAATTATACCCTTCTAAATTTAGGGTTGCCAGGTCTGGGTTGGAAAATAGCTGGAGACTTTGGGGGTGGAGCCAGGAGAGGGCGGGGTTTGGGGAGGGAAGGGGCCTCAGCATGGTACAATGCCATAGAGTCCACCCTTCAAATCAGCCATTTTCTCCAGGGGAGCTGATCTCTGTCAGCTGGAGATCAGTTGTAAAAGTGAGAGATCTCCAGGCCCCACCTGGAGGCTGGCAGCCCTGTCTAAATTCCTGGTTTATTTATATACATTTCATATTTTTCTGCAGACTTGGGGCTTCCTGTCTATCTCTGGCCCCACTGTGTGGATTTTTTGATCCACATTCTAGGGGGTCAATTCAGAGTTAAATATGATGATACTGTTTCTGAGCAGGAGGCTGTATTTCATGACCACTCTGCACATTATGTAGAAACAACCCCAAATTTTCCATTGATCCTCCCAGAGCTTACTCTTTTCTTCCTCCTGGCCTCATGACACACCTGTGAGAGAGTCATGTCCTACTTTGGGGTACATAGGAAAGAGGGGGCTGCTGTGAGATTCCTGCATTTTATTTTGGGGTGGGGAGAGTACCGTGGAGTTATTTTGCAAGTGCATTCTGAAAAGTACAGCAGGTTATCAGGTAGATTTCACTTCAGAATATCTGAGAACTATGGCACTAGCATGATACAAAATTCCATGCTCTCAGCCAGTTGCAAATTAGGAAGATATAAATCCAGAAAATAACGTTCAATTGACACTTGCTGCTTGTGCATGTAGGGATACAAAGAAATATTCACTAGTATGTACTTAAGTCTCTGTACAAATATATCTTTCTGAGGAGCACAAGGTCCTTCCTAATTTTTGGAAACAAAATATGCCTTGATTCCGTACAGGCTCAGGGACATTCAGGTCTAGGCAACCAGAAAAGGTTACTTTCTACTGGAAGCTCAGGGACATTCAGGTCTAGGCAACCAGTTTTTGAAAACAAGAAAAGGTTACTTTCTACTGGAGGGGATGGGTATTGTACTGAAACAGACTTTCACATGGATTATGGAAACTCAGACTCTCTTACTGTTTTTAAAAGATCAAGAAGACAAGCTGGAGCTCTCTTACCAGTTGACTGTGAGCTGGGCCAGTGGTCAGGATGGACTGAGTGTCTTCCTTGTCAAGAAAAAAAAGTAAGGCTGCATTCTAGTATGTTGTCCTGAAATGTTCTTGTAGTAGGTAGAAACATAAAGCTCAGGAGAAAGATGACATAAAATATTGTGTCCACAAGCCAAAATTCAGTTAGGTTTTTCTAAGCCCAGTGGGCCAAAGTGCAAATTATGATGCAAGCTAAAGACATGAGAAGGACTCTCCTGGATCAGAACATAAAGAAGCAGCTTTAAATATTTGGTGCACTGCTGATCCAGAGCTGCCTCCACCACTGAAGTGAAGAAAAGCCCATTCATGCAATGTTTCCCTGGATTGAATTGGCTGTCAATCAGCCAATAGATTTGCCCTGTCTGTTAAGGCATGAGAATGCTAAAGGCTTGGGGGGGCGGAAATCACATTTTACTTTATTGATGTCCAGGGGTCATTTCGTAGAAAAAGAACCTGCAGGAGCTCATTAGCATAACTTATTAGCATATGCCACACCCCCTGACATCACGAAGCAGATGGGGAAGGAAGACAGCGGCAGGTCCAGCCAATCAGGGAGGGAGGGCAAGCTACAGGAAAGCAGTTTAAGATCACAGATGTGCAATCAGCTTTTCTACAGACACATACGGGAACTGTTTCAAATGTTTGAGTGTGCCAACTGCGGTTTACAGAAAAATTGCAGACCAAACTGGCAAACCACTGAGCATCCCCAGGGCACAGGCTTTCAGAAAGCCAACATGTACACTAACTGATGGCCAAGAGCTAGACTCGAGCCCAGTAGAGACCAACAAGATTTTCAGGGTATAACCTTTCGAGAGTCAAACCTCCCTTTGTCAGAATCTGATAAATTATTACTTGACTATCCAATGGTAAAGTGGATCTCCTATGAAGGAAGGGTAGTCAAAATATCACAACACTTTGGATGTCACCATCTCCCAGCTGCATGAACTATCTCAGAGGGCTGTTGTGGGGATAAACAGTCTTAGAATTCTAAGGCCCTCTGTAGATTTGAAAGCAATACAAGAAATTATTACTTTAAAGAAATGGTGTTGCAGAGAGTACTGTGCCTATGTAAGTATTAAAATAATGATTGCCATTCATCTTTCCCCTGTCCCATCTTGCATATTTACATTTACAGTCCCACATAAGTGCTCCTGCAATGTGGAAATAATAATCCTAAATGTGCTCTTCTAATCCATAGACTGATAACAATAACAAGCACACAATCTTAACTTTCTAAAGTTGCTGCACATCCTCTCCTTTTCACTGGTAGTTGTATGTTTCTACAGTATGGGGGGTTGTGATCTAAATATCTGGATGTACAAAAGGACTGACAATGCAACCCTAAACAGTCATGTGATCTTCCTTAAGCCCATTGACTTCAGTGGACTTAGAAGGGTATACCTTCACTAAGGATTGCACTGTGAGTCACACCAACCTGAGCTTCACTGCATACATTTTCCTCTCTCCAAGGCAAACATAGTCAGCATCCATATGCCCAAAGACTTTCATTTCACAGATTCTTGCCTGGACAGTAGCAGTGTCTAAATTGAGCAGAAACTACCCAGTGCTTGGGGGAGCTGCAAAGGACACGGTGGGACTTCTCTGAGGCCTAATTCACTCGTGTAACTTGCTGCCAAGTGTGCCTTCTTGAAAGCCAATTGCACAGAGGCTGTTTTGCCCAGTCAGCAGTTTGGGTGAGCAGCTCCCTGCAGGGCTCCCAGGATTTTAACCAAGCCATCACAACTTCCTTTTTGTAGTCTGCAGTCACATGGCTGGAATTACCAGCACCACGTGCAACACACAAAACAGCCACCACACAGTCACGCGTCGAGAGGCCCCCCCATACAGCACATCATGGGAATCCAGCCGGAGAGAAGAGGGTTGAAGGCTGCATCCTTAGTCAAACCTCTGAGCTGGAACTAATGCATGTGAATACAATTTTCTATCTAAACATGTTTGGACTACAAGTTCAGATTTATGGTCGGTACACTGTGTGCTGGATTTGGCATGCTGCCATTCTGCAGCTCTGCAGTATTTGCCAGTTCAGCTAGTGATTTGTTATTTCCCTTTCATCAAGAGTCATGGGTTAACAAATCAATGGCTTATAGAAAATCAAAGAGAACCACTAAAGAATGAATAAAGCAGTGAGTGGATAATGAATAACAAAGGGGAAGATGATACAGATGAATCAGCAACATTCTACCGAGTGCTAAACATCTGCTTTTGCAAATTTGGGTGGGTATTATGAACTGGACCACAAATGCTTCTAATCCGTTTGTTCAAACACTGCAAACGTGATAAATGCGAAGCTTTCTCTGAATAGTTATTTAGTTTTCCTGATGTTCAAAGAGAATACAATCTCATTGACCCAAGTGGCCTAAGGGGATGAGACATCCAAAAATACTCCAGTAATCAGTGGTATAGATGAAGCCATGTGCTGCTTGCATAGAATTCTGATAACAGGGAGACTGAGATGATAAAGTTTTACTGGAATAACTTTTCACAACATAAGATGTCTAATGCGGTAATTTTCAGCAGAGATGTGGTGAGTTTTGCTTCAAACTTGTTGGACGGTTGTACTCCCCCATGGTTTGCCTGTATCAGTCAGACATGACCCAATCACTGGGACTGTTTAGTTGGGCAGTGAAAACCTACTGAAAAGATTTGCAGCAGGTTTTTGCAAAACTGTGCATGTGTAACAACACTACCAGTTCAAACAGTTCAGCGGCCATTAGCATTGCTAAGGACTATATATTTTAATTTATTAGATTTGTATCCTACCCTCCCCACATAGCGGGCTCAGGGTGGGTTCCATCAGATATAATATACAAACCGTTAAAAAAAGTTAAAATACATCAAATAAAATACAATAATAATTCCTATAGTTCTAACTACTTAGGCAAGCACTCAACTGTTGGTTTTTTTAGAACACAGAATTTATTTATGACCTGGATAGCCCAGGATAGCCTGATCTCATTAGATCATGGAAGCTAAGCAGGGTTGCCCCTGGTCAGTATTTGGAAGGGAGATCACCAACAAATACTATGGTAGGCAACAGCAAACCACCACTGAATATCTCTTGCCTTGAAAACTCAAAGGGGTCACCAGATGTCAGCTGTGACTTGATGGTTAAAAAAAAGTCTGCCTTTTGTCACTGAGAGGCAGATTATATAATGTAAATCAACACAGTCAACAGAAGGGACATCCAATAAGCAGTGTAATAGGATTAGAATTGCAGAAATTTGAAATAAAGCAGTAATCTAAGACAAAGCTGAAACACAGCATAAGAATACAAAGTATTAAGCAGTACAGAAATTGTGTGCGTAAAGTGCCATCAAGTTGCAGTTAAGAACATAAGAACATAAGAGACGCCAATGTTGGATCAGGCCAAAGGCCCATCCAGCCCAACACTCTGTGTCACACAGTGGCCAGAAATACCAGGTGCCCTCAGGAGGTCCACCAGTGGGGCCAGGACATTAGAAGCCCTCCCACTGTTGACCCCCCCCAAGCACTAAGAAGACAGAGCATCACTTGCCCCAGAGCCCCTAGCTATACCTTGTGGCTAATATCCACTGATGGACCTCTGCTCCATATGCTTATCTAATTCCCTTTTGACTTATGGTGGCCCCGGCAAGGAGTTTTCAAGGCACATGAGAAGCAGAGGTGGTCTGCCATTGCCTTCCTCTGCAGAGTCTTTCTTGGTGGTCTCCCTTCCAAGTACCGACCCTGCTTAGCTGCCAAGATCTGAGCAGATTGGGCTACACCATGCCACCTTCCCTCCTTAATAAAGAAATTACACATTAGGATAATACAAACAGCAACAGATGGTAATACAGTACACAGCGGTATAGTCAACAGTCCCTTTCCCTTCTTTCCCTTCTGAACCCTTCTGTTATAGTCGAACCATGTTACCTACGTACAAATGCTCTCTGAATAATTCAGTTTTGTATAATTTTCAGACTGCCAGAACAGTGAGTCTTCCTGACCTCATCAGGCAGGCCATTCCATATGGTGGGGGGTATCACAGAGAATGCATGTGTATGGGCAGTTGTTGATCTTGCCCATCTGTAAGGTGGCACCACTGGCACCTGCAGAAGGTCCTGCTCAAGTGAACTAAGCTGTCATGGTGGAGCATAGAGGAAAAGGTGGTACTGAAGATACGAGTGTCCACAGCCATGAAGGGCTTTGCTTGTGCAAAAGTGCACCTGCTCATTCATGCTAGAGCTTGGCTGAGCAAGGTGGTGAATGTGGTAAGGAGGCAGAGCTGGCATGAAGTTCCGGAGACATCAAGGACTGCACTCCCACTCCTCCAGCTGCTTATACTCTATACATTGAGTTGTTGGCGGTGATGAGCATAGGAAGGGTTAGTCATGGGAGAAGAGGAAACTAGAAGGTTTCTAGGGGCAGCCTGAAAACTTTGAAATTCCCGGCAAGGAAGAAGCTCGGTGCCTTCTGAGGGCTGGGGCGAACCTCCACACTTTGTGCCATCAAGTACCTTCTCTAAAATGATGCTTTGTAACTGCTGGCTAGCATTTCATCCCTCAAAATTTCATTACCATGCATTCCAAATTGTACTTAAAAGTAATTTCCACTTTTGGCAGGAGTCCCTACACACTGATAAAGGCTTAGTGCGTTATATATTTTAATGCCTAAATTGTTTATGTGTCTTCTTATTTACTTAAAATACTGCATAAATCTGTTTTATTACCTCTCAATGTTTAATTGAAATGTTATTATTTTAGATATATAGTCCATGGTAGCTAGACAAAGTTTGAGTCTAGTGGCACCTTTAAAACCAACAAAGTTCTATTCAAGCTATAAGCTTCTGTGTGCATGCACACTTCTTCAGATACGGTGACATTCTTCTTTATTTTTCAAAAATATATAGTATAGATATAGAGCTTTATTACATCCGGCCCAGTATGAGGGAAGAAGTTGCACTGGTGATCTTTGGGAGGAAGTACCGTGCCACCCAACAGGAACATGTGCCCAGAGCCAAGATTGTGGAATGAATTTTCGGTGCGAGGCATCTGGTAAGTGAAATTCCATCACCAATATCAAACTCTGTTCTGTGCCCTCAGCCTTCTCCAGGAAAACACTTCTTATGGAACATGAAGATCCATTGTTCTACTTTCACCTGACCATATTAATACTCAGAGGGAACATGGCAGCGTGGAGTTAATGACAGTATCCTCTAAGGCCCTGCAGAGCAGATTGCTATAAGAACAAGATATTTTGCATGTGGAGATGGGCACAATTATGTGCTATCCTAAAGTGCTCACCTCTTATTGCAGATGCATGTGTGCATAAGGAAGATCTAGACAAGAAACAATACTTCTTTACTCAATGAGTAACTGAATCATGGAATTCACTAGCAGTAGTTGTAGTGATGGCCATGAGCACAGATGGCATTAGGGGATTAAAGAAATTCTAGGAGGATAGTTCCATCAATGGCTACTACCCATAGAGACTAAAGAGAACCTTTCACATTCAGAGACATTAATTATTCCCAATCAGAATAATGAGACAAACAACAGGTTGGAATCAAACAAGGGCCACTTTATTGACTTTTTAGAAACTAACTGAACAGCAAGGGAAAAAACAAAGCGGGTGCAGAACAGGCAAAGCAGGTGTCACTCTGTAGTGCCACGGCCAGGCAATACCACCCTAGACCTCAACCACTCCGTTGCCAACCCGGCAGGAGGTTGGGCTGGAGGACTGACAGGCAGGGCACTCTGATTACTTTTACAAAATCAGGAGTCAAGTTCTTCTTGCTCCTTACTCATGATAGGCTGCCACCAGACCTGCTTCATCCAAGAACACAAGACACAGGTCAACCTTGTTTCCTTTAGGACTTCGTATAGAAACCCAAACTCTCTCCAGGCCCAAGAGTTCCACACAATTACTATTGGTAGGGCCGCAAAGGAAACTAGAAAAAGCCTTCTGCAAACCCCCAGACTGAAACACACCACACTGGTATGTAACTAAACATTTTATTTTTAAGGTGCAAGGCAATACCAACACACTGTGCATAAAACAAAAAAGATTTTTAATATCTCTAGCTAATTACCTAGGATAGTATCACCCCAGGGTCCACAGCATTTCTTGCAGCATGCAAAAACACTCTGCTTTCAGCAGTATAGCAAGGCAGATCACAAATCCCCCTCCCTCTAGCAGAGGTTCAGGGTTTTACCCCAATGGGAAAACATTAGCACCTGGTAACATACCCAGCTCCAAGTCTAACGTTTGACAAAAAAAGGTAAGAAAAGCCTTCATTTTTAACCTCCTCTGGGACACCTGCTCACAATCATTAATTGGACCTTGCAACCAGATTCACCTGAGCCCAATACTGGTCAGAGTCTGACATATGTAAATTAATATTGGGCAGAGGTAATTGAAGGTGGAGCTGATTGAGATCCACATGCTCCGCCGTTGCATGGGAAGCTCAACCAGCCTCAGCTGCCCAAGGTCATTCCTAAAAAACAAGTCTTCACGGAGTCAGTGCTAGGCAACCAAGAGCTAATGGTCTACAGGTGGCCTTATCAGCACTTCTCCAGCTCAAGAATGTAAGCTAAGCACTGGCTTCTGCAAGGAACTACATACGATGAACCACTAAAAAAATAAAATACCCCCTAGTTACTACACAGTCAGTGACCAACCTCCTTGCCCAACATGCGGCAAGCCACCACTCCCGGTCCTGAGCCGCCAATATGGCTCATAGCCAGCCAGCGTACTGGTTGCTCCCAGGAGCACCTACCCCAGAAGCCATACAGCTTGCAGGAGGAGCCTATCCAAGAGGTTCCCAGAGGAGATCATGATTCCTAGCCCCGGGTCGTAAAACCCAGAGGCTGTTCCTGATGAGCCCCTTGTTTCCAAATGGGAAAATGGCTTAAGGCGTTCACCGGTTCTGCTTTCTTATCCACACTACTCTACCAAGTGACCAACCAATTACAGCAACTACCACAGTCAATGTCCAGATCCACTGTTCTCGGTGTAAGGTAGGCAAAAACACCTCCACCCTACAACCAATCCTGGGTGAAGGCAAAAAATTCCTACCTGGCCCCAACAGGTGACCGACCGTAGCCTACACTAAGAACAGTGCAGGAGTTTGAGCCAAGCACAAGGCGATGAATGCTGCGGGTGGGAGCAGAGCCTGGCCTTATATAGCCGGCCCTGCCCAAGTTGCGACACTTAGCATTGCAACTCAATGCTGTTACCATCCTGTCCTCCTCCGGGATGGCAAAATGGCCCCTACCCTCCAGTGGCCTTGCAGGGAGGGTCAGGAACCCAATTGCCCCCACCCCCCAATCAGAATAACAAGACAGACAACAAGTTGGAATCAAACCAGGGCCACTTTATTAACTATTTAGAACTTTTAACTGAATGGCAAGGGGAAAAACAAAGTGGGTGCGGAACAGGCAAGGCAGGTGTCACTCAGTGACCAACCTCCTTGTCCAACATGGGGTGAGCCACCAATGTGGCTTGCGACCAGCTAGCCAGCATAGTGGTTGCCTCCCAGGAGCGCCTACCCCCGAAGCTGTACAGCTTGCAAGGAGGAGCCTATCCAAGAGGTTCCCAGAGGAGATCATCATTCCCAGCCGTGGGGCATAAAACTCAGATGCCATTCCTGATGATTCCCTTGTTTCCAAATCGGAAAATGGCTTAAGGTGCTCACCAGTTCTGCTTTCATACTCGCACTACTCTGCCACAGCCAAGGTCAAGCCACCTGAAACGAGAACTGCATGTAACTGATTACAACCCTAGAACTTGCATTTACGAACATAACCCTCATAACAGCACAATTTCCAACAACCTCTGTTCCTGATCTTGGTACTAGAATACCCCATGGCTGCTGCAGTGGATGCAGCCCCTATTTGAAAGGAATGGGTTCCAAAACAGAACTCACAACAACCCAGCTGCGTTAGTGCATTCTGAGTCAAAGTCCAAAATTGAAATTTGGTAAGGGGGAGCCATCCCTGTGCTGAAACAAAACACCCAGGCCCTCACCCCGCAAGCCCAAGTATTGGCATAATGTGTTGGTGTATACACAAGACATGGAAACACATGTGAAACTAGTGAGAGAGGTGCTGACTGTGCTCTATGACAATCACCTCTACGCCAAGCTATTCGTGTGAGTTCCATAAATTGGAAATAGACTTTTTGGGCTACTACATTACACAGCAGGGGCTGGGAATGGATCCCAAAAAAGTGCAAGATGTGGCGGGGTGGGAGCCTCCACGTACACAAAGGCAATTACAATAGTTCCTCGGGTTCACTAATTTCTATAGAGCCTTCATCCCCAATTTTGCTCAAGTAACACTACCATTGACTGACCTATTGAAAACTAAGGGGATGGGACCGGACAGCAAGAAAGGGGGGAGTAAATTGCAGTGGATCCCTGAGTGCCAGCAGGCATTCGACAAGTTGAAAACTCTTTTTTCTTCAGAACCCATTCTCCACCACCCAGATGAAACAAAAGCATCTATTGTCCAGATGTACACCTCGGATGTGATGATGGGGGAAGCAATTTTGCAAAAGAGCCCCAATGAGAAATTGCACCCCCCCCTTACATCTCCAAAAAGTTTTTCGGGGCAGAAAGAAACTGGGCGGTTTGGGACAAAGAGGCGGTGGCTATAAAGTTAGCACTGATTACATGGTGGCTCTGGCTGGAGGGGGCGAGGGCTAAGCTGATCGCCCTGTGGTCCTCAGCCTGCCAATCTCCCAAAGGCCCATGGACATCCTTATCGGGAACTGATCAGCTGAGAGCCAGTTTGGTGTAGTGGTTAAGTGCATGGACTCTAATCTGGGAGAACTGGGTATGATTCCCCACTCCTCCACTTGCAGCTGCTGGATGACCTTGGGCAGAGATGTTCTTGAAAAGAGCAGTTTCTGTCAGAGCTCTCTCAGCCCTAGCTACCTCACAGGGTGTCTGTTGTGGGGAGGAGAAGGGAAAGGTGTTTGTAAGCCGCTCTGAGACTTTGAGTGAAGGGTGGGGTATAAATCCAATCTCTTCTTTTTCTTCTCTTCTTCCGGGGCCAGCTGACAGAACCTCTCCATCTGTTTTCGAGAGAGAGCATCAGCGACCCTGTTACTGACCCCGGGCACATGCTTTGCCTTAAACAGTATATAGTTTTTTAAACAAAGGGTTGTAAATGCTCATACCGGGGCCATAACCCTAGAGGACTTGGATGTCAGTGAGGACGTGTGCAGTGGCCATATTGTTGCACTAGAAGTGGCCAGAAAAATCTGCAGTCCACATCCCCACTGCTGCCACAATTGGGAAAAATTCCAAAAAAGTGAGGTAATTGACCCACCCTGCCTGGAACCAACCAGCTGGCCAGTCCTCAGCACACCAGTGACCTCAGAAATATACCCTAAAGCTGGAAGAACCTGTAGCATCTGATGTTATCTGCAGCTCAGCTTCAATCTGAAGGTCCTCATGCCACGTACTGCTGAAGCCTAGCTTGTAGGATCTTGAGCATGACCTTGCTAGTGTGTGAAATTAGTGCAATTGTGCGATAGTTTGAACATTCCTTGGCATTGCCCTTTTTTGGGATTGGAATGTGTACTGACCTTTTCCAATCCTGTGGCCACTGTTGCGTTTTCCAAATTTGCTGGCAAATTGAGTGCAGCACTTTAACAGCATCATCTTTTAAGACCTTGAATAGCTCAGCTGGGATACCATCGCCTCCGCTAGCTTTGTTGTTAGTACTGCTTTCTAAGGCCCATTTCTAAGGCCCACTACACTTCTCTATTTTGTATGAAGCTTATAGATGTACATATCTCCAAAGAGATTTTGAGCAACATCCCATATCATGTCTGAAGCACTCTTAGAGAGGAGGGTCAGGCATCTGACCATGCATCCTCCACACAAAAGCTTCAGTCCACTGAGCTTCCCAATTTTCCTCACAGTATACCTAGGCCTTTTTGAACTGAGTATACATTATGAACTGAGCATTCAGCTTTTTGTCAAAACCTTAAGTGATTCCCAGGGAAAGAGTGTCTGCTTTTTTTAGAAATATCTCTTGCACTACTTGCTAAAGCACCAACCTGGGGTGGTAGAAAGCTGCTCATAAGGATTCTCCCTGTGTGTTTGTTCGTTAGATATAATTACTGCAACAAATATGTTAAACGTCTTTTGAAACTTCACCATAAACTAAGCGGGCAGAGTTCATTTTTCTAAAGCAGCACCAGAAACCTTTAGGCTTGCACATGGTTTTAGATAATGTAAGCAGGGATCATAAACTCATCCTAGAAGTTGTGACAAAGTGAACCTGACGAGGAGAAGCACACAGTGGATTCACAATCCATTATTTAGAACTGAAGAGGTTCCCCTGTGGAGAAGCAACCAACAATCCTGAGTAAAGTTTACCAAGTGTATATAAAATGTGTAAATTATGATTCTATATAGAAGGGTGATTATTTAAGAATAAGAATGAATAAAGCTGTAAGGTAAAAGTGGAATGATTTTACTTCTAGGATTTTCAAGGCTATAAAGCTGTAGACTGGCAATGTGCCAAGTGAGGTAGCTGTCTCTTTGTGCTCAATGGAATGGTTGTCTCTGACAGAAGCCTGCCTTATTTATACAAAGTTCAGAGGACAGAGAAATCCAAATGTGACACAAATGACTGGTCATAGTGCAAGTTCATCCACTATCATTTCTCTAAGTCGTAATGTGATGGTTGCCTGAAAAAGACTGATTGTTGGTTGGCAGAAGGGGTATGGCCAGACAAAATAAAAGACCAGATACTGCCTGGTTACGTTCAGTGAGTTGTTGGTCGCAGGTTACAGCAAAAGGGTGTGTGTGAAGAAGACAAACAAAAGAGGACAGTAGCAAACGAAAACCTGTCTGAGGTGACGAAACATTGTATCTGGCAGTAGAACTGAGAGGAAGATGAAGGCTTAAAAGAGAGGACCCTGAAGAAGGGTAACTAAGGAAGCAGTGCAGTTTTCCAGAAACAGTGCCATGGGGAACCAATCCTGAGCATGTTGACTTGGAGGTAAAGGCCATTTTATTCAATGAGGCTTAAATCTAGGAAAGTGTAGGATTGCAACTTTGATGTTCTAGTCCTAGTGTCTTCATAAAGCTATCCTTACTAGGAAGAAATCGTTAGTGTTTATGTCTTCTGTATCCTGCAAAGCTAAGTAACAGCTTGATCTGAAAGAAGGCTTCAGAACAAAACAAAACAAAAAGGACTCCATGTTCCCTTGTTTTACAGTCTAGACTGAAGGAAACTGGCTAATAGCGTTTAATTAGAGGAGTGAACTTGTATAGAGATAGCCACCTCTTATAATTACAATAATTGAAGAACATTAAAAAGTGTAATAGAAGTGACCAGTAAACAACACTATTATCCTGTAAAGTGTACGTTTAGTAATTCATTCTTGAATAGACATGTTTATATTTTTGTATAATTGAAGAACATTAAAAAGTGTAATACAAGTGACCAGCAAACAACACTATTATCCTGTGAAGTGTACGTTTAGTAATTCATTCGTGAATAGACATGTTTATATTTTTTGTTCTTCTTATGCATTAGTCTCAGTGTTTGTCTATCCAACACCTAATAAACACCAAGTTATTAAGGTATAATAAAGTGAGTTTTACTTTCAGGTATAAGAGGCAGTGGAATATAAGGGATCAATAATAAAGTTGTTGATATATGAAATAGATAAGTCATATTAAGTTGCATGGCTCATTTGTGAGCAATTTGGAAGTGAGTGGTGGAATTTTTGAAAAAGCCCAGCCCACATAGTTTAATGGCAAGATCTGAATAATAACCCTTGATGGCAGAGTAAGGGACCTTAATTATAACCCTATTCCATGATTCTTGATAGCTCTGTTCAAGCTATATCTAGTCTTGCCCTATTGCTAGTTAAGAAGGAGTATTTCAGAATGCATACTAGTTCTGCGAATTATTATTCAAGCAATGTACTTTTTAACCTCTCTGTATGATATGAGGCATCAGGGGTCTGGAACTGGGAATTCTGAACCAGGTTCTAGAAATGGGCTTCCTTGCAGACAGGGGAAACTATTGGCTTTATGGCCAGCCAATGGCACTGCACCTTCCATCTCCACAACTAACAGTGCAAGAAGACAGTAGGCTCCTGTGTTGTTTTATAAAGCTGTCAACTGTGGCCTACCTTCTGAGCAACATATGGCTTTGACACAGACTGAAATGCTTGTTTGCCACTAGCTTAACCATCCCCTTGGCTTTGTGTCACCAGATATGACAGGAACTGAAATATCATTGCAAAACCAGATATGAGCTTCAAAGTTGTTATGATATGCACTCCCTACATTTAAATGTTTTTCATGGTGTCTGTTCAAGGGGATACTTCAGTAAAAACAGATATGGTACAACCCTTTCAAAATAGGCATTGGGTTGCTCCTCTACAGAGCAACAAAGACCCTAAACTACAAACACAGAGACAATTCTGTCCTCAATTCTGTCCTCAGAAAGAGCTTGTGCTAAGCAAGGGCATGCAAGATCTGTCCCAAATTATGGATTTGTGTAAGTGACCATTTAGTCCAGCCTTACCCAGTTTGACCAAACATGGACTCTATAAATGGATAACAAAGAAAATCTATATCTGCACTGCAGGCCGTTGCCTTAAATCTGACCTTGTATGCAATGGAGAAGCAGATTGTAGAGATAAGTCTGATGAGGCTGGTTGTGGGGATGCTGAAAGATTCTGTGATGGTGATCTACATACAATCCCAGGGGTCAGTGAAGCAGCTCGGGGGTAAGTTGCAATTCTTTACCTCACTGTGTATCTTTGTGCTTCATTTGGTTGAGGCACCAGGCATCCACATATGGCCTCCCTGAGGTTGCCATCTCCCACCTGCTGGCCACCTATCCATCAGCAACCGGCCATATCCATCTGTATTAATGGGTCAGAACTTTCACCAATAGCTATAACCACTGATTTTAAATGTTTATATTGTGCTTTTAAATTTTATTGTAATTGTTGAAACATGATGTGACCCTAGGGTTGCCAAGTGCTTACCTGTTCCAGAGTGGGGGAGTCCAGCCTTGCTCCGGGAGTCTTTGTGCGCGTGCTTTGTGCGCGTGCACTGCAAGCACATCACACGGACGTGACGCAAGCACGTTGGGGACGTTGGAAGCAGGGCCACAATCATCCAAGGGAAAACCATAGAGTTTTCCCTTGGATGATTGTGACCCCGCCCCCAACTTCCTCGACGTGCTTGCGTCACTTCCGTGTGACAGTGAACACAAGAGATGGGCTTCTGGACTTCCTGGGCTCTTTAATGAATTTCCAGAAAAATCTACTTTGTGAGGGAAATTCTGAGAGCTTCAATTATTGTCCAGTAAACTTGGACCATTACTCATAACCAGGGTGTGAGGAGCTTTGGAAAGCCAAACAAATGAGTAATGATTAAAGTACCTGGAGTTCTCAGGAAGCCAAACTACTTCCTCCTGAAAGCATCTGTGGAAACAGAAGCCTTTTTTTTAAAATGCCCTCATATCAAAAGGATGGATTCACCCATGCCTTTGATTTCAACAGACCAGAGGAACTTAGGGTGTAAAAAGACACAGGCTATGGATGGGGGTGGTCATGGGAGCAACATGCCATTAAAAAATATAAAACGAACATAGCGGTTCTTCCCTTCTCATCTAGCCAGGTTTCAGGTTTCTCCATAGATTGATCTGGCGTTCATCCAAGCTGACTCAAGCATAGCTATTTTGATTATGTTTCTTCTTTGTACAGTTTGAACCCACACCACTTTATGTTTCATCATGCTGAATTCTCCTACTAAAACTAATGCAAGTTTCAACATTATATTTGTTTCCAGTTGTGCATAAAAAGAGTGTCTGTGGCTCTTAAAGATGTAACCAACATATGAGTTAGAAACACCAGCAATGAAAATGCAGAGAAAGAAATGGTGTACAATGACAATGCACAAACACAAAAAGAAATTAAAAGGCCATATTTGTATAACCTTGTTCTCTCCGTCTCTCCCCCTCCCCCTCCTGCTAATAAAGCAGACTTCCATTGATTCAATGATGCTCCAAAACTATGTCAGCCAGTTCCCCACTCAACAAAAATAGTTCTAAGAAAACTATTGAGAACTGACCTTATAACTCTGACTCAGTACAGAAAATCAAATTGAGGGCAGGGCTATTTTTGGGCAGGAACACCACACCCAGCAGGAGCTCATTAGCATAACAGGCCACACCCAACAGCAGAAACTCATTAGAATTGGCTACATTAGGGCTGTGTGGCCTAACATGCAAAGGAGTTCCTACTAGAAAAAAACCCTGGGTTTTAACAAACAAGGTAAACAGAATAAGAAGCAAAAGGTGGGTGTGGCTGGATGACCACACTTCTGGTAACATGGGGGTATGGCCTAATATGCTAATGAGCTGTACTATCAGGGGTGTGGCCAAATATGCTAATGAGTTTCTGATGTTGGGTATGGCTTATTATGCTAATGAGTTCCTGCTGGGCTTTTTCTACAAAAAAAGCCCTGATTGAGGGTATGACTTGCCATATGTTTGAGGATACGACATGGCCTTAAAGTGTCAGCTTCCCTTTCACCTTAGGAATCTGCCTGTGAAACAACATTTAAGAAGAGTTGAGAAGTTGAATATGTCTTTTTGTAATAGATTGGTACTTACATTATTTCTTTTGTTGGTCTTTATCAAAGGTACAATATACTTACAAAAGAAAGAGTGCAGCTAGTTTATGATCCTGCCTACTATGGGGGCCAGTGTGAATCGGTCTATAATGGGGAATGGCGAAAGATCAAATACGATGCTACATGTGAACGTTTGTATTATGGAGAAGATGATAAATATTTCCGAAAGCCATACAATGTTCACTTCTATCAGTTTCTAGTGAGTATTTGCTGGCCACAGTTAACGATTATGCTAAGTATTAATGAATTCTAGCCACATATGTACCCTGGTTTCAGTGTAATCAGAAAGCTCCAATGAATGGACAGTGCTACTAGCTGTGTTGGGTTACCTTACAATACCTTTTCACCCTTTCCCCCACTGGAGAAGAAGACAAAAGCGTTCCATGTCCACAGTAGCTTTACGGCAGTGTGCCCTGATCCTTAGTTTGGGTGCAGCTTAGAGGTGGCCCAGGAAAATTTTATACAGTGGACTCTTCAACACGCTGAGGGAATGAGAGGCATATCTCCTTGAAAACGCCCACTTACCTTTATGAAAACAATCAATAACTAATCAACTAATTTAATTACATGATCTTTAATTGAATCTTGAAAATCCCAAACTGCTTGGCAGCCCATAATATAGATGTAAAGGCTAGCACCACTTACAAGTACATCAAATACTTACAAAAAAGGGGAAATATATGATATGTATAAATGAACCCATAACTCTACAGGTCTTGCCTGCAAACTTAAGCCTATTTTCAAAATGTTCTTGCAGTACTTCTGGGAAGTGCTCAGGTTTTGATTTTAGAGGAAAGGTGTTATCAGGCTGAATTAAGCTTCTCTGTAAAATATTTTATTTACTTTATGTAGAGCCTACCTCTCTCCCTCAAGGCGGACTGCAAAATATTTTAAAAGATGCAAACAGACATCAAAAGATATCTGAGGGAGTAATGTGACAGAACTAAGATTACACAATATGAAAACAATGCAAACAATAAACTGGTTAGAGCAAGATATACCATAACAATGAAGACAGTGGATTACAAAGATAGAAGACAATGCAGTAAAAGCAAGCTGATAGCTACAATAGTAGAACTAATGTGTGTTTCTTGCATTTCAGGCACATGCTGATTCTGGCTTTTCTTCTGAGTACTATGCTGATGCTACAGAGTTACTGAATGCCCTGAAAAAGGATTACTCTGAAGACGCAGGTTTTACAATTGGCATAGGCCCAGCCATTGTGCCTGTCTCATTGGACCTAGGTTTCAGTTTTAAACGGGGGGTAGGGACCCTGGAAAATTGGACTCAGTATGCTGCAAAGGTAACCAAAAAGATAGGCCGCTGCCTTCTAATTCATGTGTTGCTGACTTGCCCAATTGCTGTGTAACTGATGTTGGTTTTATTTCCCTGCCCACTTTGTTCCCCCTTGAAACTATAATAATCATACCTTAATTTGTTCATGTAATTGCACATGTGTGATCATTAGCAAGTCTGTTTGCTTTCCTTATTGCACTGAAGCAAACAGAAGCATTATAATGGGAATGAAATTGAATTACAAAGTAGAACAACACATGCCATCTCACCCCATCCTGTTTCATGGTGACATTAAGTATATAAATGAGTAAGTGCTTTGAGGAGTGAACAGGGAGGGAGGATATAAAGCACTGTTCATCAGGAACAGTTGTCTTTGGGGAACATATTCCATTGCCAAATATATCCTGCTCAAATTAGTACAAAGTGGAGTGCCATGCTACATGCTTTTATTAGTGGCTCTAAAAATATCTTGGCAATCCAGAGGTGTAAATAGAGATGGCTTATTTTAAAAGGGAAAGACAGGATGGGAAATGATTACAGCAAGGATCTGTGAATAATTTGCAGGTGGTAGAGAGAGGAGAAGGGGCCGTGGTGGCTCAGAGGTTAAGATGTTGAGCTGCAGACGAGAAGGTCTGTAGCTCGGCAGTTCAAGACCCGAGTGCTGCATAATGGAGTGAATTTCCGTCTCTGCCCCCAGCTCCTGCCAACCTAGCAGTTCAAAAGCAAGAAATTGCAAGTAGATAAATAGGTACCGCTTTGATGGGAAGGTAACGGCCTTCTGTGTGCCATGGTGTCTAGTCATGCCGGCCACATGACCACAGAGAAGTCTTTGGACAGCGCTGGCTCTTCAGCTTGGAAATGGAGGTGAGCACTGCCCCCTAGATTCGGATTCGACTGGCTTTCAAGCAAGGGAAACCTTTGCCTTTGCCTTAGAGAGAGGAGAAAAAAGAGAAAAGGGTTTTTTTTCCTTTGCTCCCCTTTACAACATAATCCCTTTCCCCTTCCTTTCATTATACTTTAGGAGGAAAAAATATTCTGGAGTGAGGAATTGGACTCAATGGAGCCCCCCACACACATCTTGACATATGCACTCTCATCCCAATCCAATCTATTTCTTCTGGGTTTTTGATGCAGAAGAGAACCAAATTCTCTTGGAGCTTCCTTCCCATAGAGAAAGCATGACATTCTGCCAGAGCAGGTCAAAGAACTACTCTGGTCTCCATCCTTCCAGTGAGAGCCCCTTTCCTATCTCTTACATGCGGACACAGAAGAGCATTTGGGGGTGGAGGAAACAGGACCATCAAATGCTGAATTTGGAAGGGATATCAGAGCTGGTATCTGTCTTCATCCCATTCAAAAAACATTATTTTTAAAAACTAAGGGGAAAACACACACACATACACACTAATGCATCATGGCTTCAGTTATGATGTTTTACCTTTCAAAAATTATACAGAAGGAAAATGACGTCCATACTGCCCCAGTTACCAGGTAGCTTGAGGCTGAAGCACAGGAAGAAAATGAATTATCATCAAGGTTCAGCTATTCTGGAAGAAGTGGGTGAAAGGGGAGGCAACACTGCAATGTGCAGATTAATCAGATCTACGGAAAAGATATATTAATATGGAGATAATGTCCACTTTTATATTCTACTAACGCATGGCCTGATTTCCTAGTCTCATCATTTGTTTTCATCTCATTATTTTTCCCCCCTGTCAGTTTTGGCTAGGGCCAGTTCAAGATATTTTTCTAGCTTAAGTAGGTCCCAGGTGGTGTGTTCTGGGGAGGGATACATGCCTGTATGCTGCACATGTGTAACATGACCTGTTTAGTTGCTCTATGTACAGATTGTGCTTTAGCTATAGCTTGGATTATGTTACTTTTTGGTGATGAAGTGAGGTGTGTGGATAGTAAGACACAGTGAAAGAAGTTTTGTAACAATACGAATGGTTGATATTATGTTTATCATCCTAAAGAGTACTCAGTGAGCAAGTTTGTGATTCAGCTTGTTTATTAAGCTCCCGCTCCCCTTCACATGAATTTAAACAATCAAATAACAAGTATAACATAATCTAAACAATATCTGCAAGCAGCAGCTCTTCACAGTCTACACAGGAGACAGGATGAGGCTTGCAGATTTAGTTCTCCTTATAGACTGAACTGCTTTGTTTCAGACTGCAGGGGGATGACCACATTTTAAATGTTTCCCTGGGGAAGAATCTCCCTGCCAGTATAAAATTTGCACAGCAGGCAACATGCTAGGATAGAACATTTTCCCCTGATGTCCTGGTATTTTTTTTCTTTTTAATTATAATGTAGCATTATTTATTTTATTTATTAAAAACTGACATCCTTCTACCTACAGGGTGACGTGGTACAGTGCACTCTAACACTTCCAGATCTTACTACCTTATTCTGCTGCATGTGTAAGACCAGACCTCATTAGCAGGAACTCATTAGCATAATAGCCCACACCCAACAGAAGAAGAAGAGAAGAAGAGATTGGATTTATACCCCGCCCTTCACTACCGAAAGGTGTCTCAGAGCGGCTTACAAACTCCTTTCCCTTCCCCTCCCCACAACAGACACCCTGTGAGGTGGGTGGGGCTGAGAGAGCTCTTGACAGAAACTGCTCTTTTTCAAGAACAGCTCTTATCAGAGCTACGGCTTGCCGAAGGCCATCCAGCCAGGTGCAAGTGGAGGAGTGGCGTAGCGTAGTCCTTGCCAGAATACAGCAGAGAGACCATTGGAGCAAAGGGATGCCTCAATTTCCCAACAGCATGCTGGGAAAGAGGCGACCCTCAGCGCTCCATGACTGAAGACCCTTTGCAAGGATCCCTGGGGGGCATTCGCACCCCGTCTCTAACTGCTGATTTGCAAGCTGCCTCCCTGGGAGATCCCAGGAGACACAGCCGCCATCAGCTCGCCGAAACCCTGCCTCTGTCTGATGGTTTCTTCTAGTTTGACAGTTTTACCAGTTGACAGACAGCTGTTTCTGCAACCTGATCAGCAAATAATGGAGGGGACAGCCATATCCTGTTGTTTGACCCCAGAAATTGGCATACTGGTAATTAAAGTTCCTTCTAGCTATATCCCATAGCCTTATGCTCCAGAATTTGTTTAATTATTGGAGAATTACAAACTCTCCAATAATTAAACTCTGGGTTGTCTGTTGCTTGTGAATGTTGCCTAATATGCTAATGAGCTGCACTGTCAGGGGTGTGGCCTAACATGCAAATAAGATTCTGCTGTTGGGTGTGGCCTATTATGCTAATTAGTTCCTGCTGGGCTTTTTCTACATAAAGAGCCATGCCATTGGGTATAACTTCCCTAAGAATTTAAAAAATGAGACTTTCTGCTGTGCTTTGTCTACAGAATGTAGGATTTATTCGAACACTTACTAAAATACAAACAGCCCGTTTCAAGATGAGAAGAGATGATATATTTCTGGATGAAAATATGCTTCAGTTTCTGATGGATCTTCCAGATGAATACAACTACGGACTGTATGCCAAGTTTATAAACCTTTATGGCACCCACTTCATGACATCCGGGACAATGGGAGGCATCTTTGAATACATCATCATTGTTGACAAAGATGAAATGAGGAGAGAAGGTTAGCATGTTTTATTTATCGCTATTTCTAATTGTAAAATGGTGTGCCCCTGTGTGGATGAAATAAGCCACAGACAAGAAAGGAAACTCTATATACCTAGTGGACTCTCCAAGTATTCAGAAAAACATGGCTATTTAAATTACCCAAAGAAACCCCCCTCAAAAACTAGGATAGAAAAAGCTGTAGGAGTATGGCTGCCAACTTTGTGTTGGGAAATTCCTGGAAATGTGTAGGTGGAGCCTGGGGAGGGTGGATTTTGGAAAGGGGACGGAGCTCAGCAGAGTTCATCCTTCAAAGCTGCCATTTTCTCCAGGGGGACTGAACTCTACAGGCTGGAGATAAATTGTAATTTTGGGAGAACTTCAGGCCCCACCTGGTGGTTGGCAGCCCTATCCAGAAACGATGAACTATTGAAGGTTGTGGAGTGACAATTACAGGAAAGGAAGCGAAAATAGTCTGCTCACCTTGAGGAATCCTGGGAGGGGAGATTTTGGGGGAGATTTCTCACCTCCAAGATTACCCCCCCCCCCGAGATTACTCACAGGACCTCCAGTTCATTTCACCTAGTCAGCATGTTGTACATAAAATTCTTTGTATGCATACATCTTGTTGACCCACAGGAGGATACAAACTGTTGTCATGACCCAAGAACTCGAGATCACTAAGCCACACACTATTTTTTGTATTCCACAAGCTTTAATTCTGAGATACATTTCCTGAGGTTGATATACAAGTTTCCTTACAGGTACAGCAACAATGCCTGTGCTGATTCAAAGCACACAAGATGGCACCCCACCCACAGATCTAGACAGGTCCTCGTTTACTCAGAATATGTCAACACACAGGGCTTCATGTCTGACATTTTACACTAGAAGGCTTTCAAACTGCAGAATGAAGGGGTTCTGCTAGTTTCATCTTTCAGCAAAGGAAGGCGTGCAGGACAGCAGGGTTTTGTCTGTAAATCATGTTTATGTAAGGTATCATCTGCAGTTGTTTGCATACACAACTGGAGAGTTGGAGCATAAAGCCTTCTCATCGTGAATGGGAAATTTAGTACTATAATAACTTGACTCTCCGGTACACTAACCAGATTGTTCACTTGTACAAAGCTATCTATTATGCTATTAATGCAAGAACTCATGTGCCTTCTGTGATACCAATAGACATTAGTCATTCACATTCTCTTCCAAAAGTTCTGGTTTGGTAACTCCATTCTGGGATTCTCCACTTGAAATAGTAACATCTGCAACATCAGGCTAGGACTTGTGGCTCAGCCAAATAGCTCTAAGCTTAGGAAGACTTCTGCAATTTGGGCCCCTCAGATCAGACATGCAGTCCATATTATTCCACAGGACTGTTGCTGGTATAAGCTGTAAAGTGTGCACAGTTGGCTTTTTATGCTAGCTAACGATGTATTCAAAAGCAAGAACAAAATCCATGCAGTACTGTTTATTGGGACCAACCAAAATGACAGAAAGCATTGCACAGTCTTTCAGGCTCACCAGAACCCATCATTAGGTTGGATTTTTAAAAAGATAAATACTACAAAATTAAGGAGGGGGAGGAGGCAGAGGTTTCAGGTCATGCTTTGTAAGACCTGGTCTTGCTAGCATTCTGTGTCAGAAGCTAGACAATACAGCTTCAAATTAGTGCTTGTTTCAGGTTGCAGCACTTGCCTTCTGGAAACAAGGAACAGATCACTAAGAACACAAAGGCCAGCCAAAGTCCATACAAATGCCTCTTAAATGCAAGGTGAGACCCAGTTCTCTTGAAGTTTGAGAGTAGAAGGAAGCACTTGCTAGTCTTTCTGTTAAAAATGCTTGATGATGAATACTTAAAATGATGCACACGTTATAAATTCCACTGCAGCCAAAAAGGGTAATTTTGCCTTGTGTAGAACAATCTTTCCCCAGACTTTCTGTTCTGTTGACAAATCTTTCTTGGCTGAAATTAGGTATCATTGAAGTAGAAAAAAGTTGCAAACAGCCATATTGGTCCATGCAAAATCCAGAAACAAGAACAAAATCCGTGTAATACCAAAATGGCACAAAACATTGTGCAAGCTTTCAAGGTAAAGATGAGCCTCTCTTTCCTGTAATCCTAAACCAGGTTCATGGCATAAAGAGAACATTACTCCTTTTGCTTTAGGATATAATATACACTAGCAGAATGATAAATACCAAGAGCTGTTGAGTATAGATCAGTTCAGGGCTAAATGCTGATTAAGGGAAATGTGAAAAGAAACAATAAATACAAAATGCCCGAATAACAATCTAGTAGAAAAATATATCGGAAGCTGTTCAGATGTAAGCTCCCAAGTGCAACTGGTGTGTTTAAAAGATTTAGATGTCTTCCTTCTGTCATTTAAAAAACTATGAGTTGAGTTTTTAAATATCAGAATTAAAGTTATCAGCATTAGTTTATTTTCATACATTTCAATAGGAACCACCTTTCTAAGCATAACTCCCTCATCGGCAATTGGGATAAAATTGCCTCCTCAACTTTCATTCAAAAAAGAGAAAGCACCTCTGTTTTAGACACAATTAAAATTCTCACTTCTACAAGTCACAGGAAGGAAGGAATTAGCAAGTATGTGTTCCATTCCATTAATAGGACTCTCACAGTCACCCCCTCAAAAAACCCCCAAAGAATTAGGGTTAGGTACTCTTATTTCACACACATGGAGCCCATGGGCAAGAAGAACGAAACCCTATCTTTCCCACATCTTGTCCTACTGTGTTCCACTCTCCTTATAAACCTTTAATCAAAAACTATCTTCAAATAGTGGAGTTTAGCACGGCAAGGTGGAGCTAGGGGTAGAGAACAGGTTAGCTGTCTACATCGACATCTGTGTGTTCCGGTTTTGTTTAAAAGGGGCAACCACCCTCCAGTCTGCTTTCCATGTAAACAAACTGACTTGTGCCTCTCAGGTCCTTTTCCTAGCAGTAGCACTTCTAAATACAGTAATGATGTCAAAGAAAGCTTAGATCATAGCAACATGGAATCATAGAATCACAGAGTTGGAAGGGGGCCACACAGGCCATCTAGTTCAACCCCCTGCTCAGTGCAGGATCAGCCTAGAGCATCCCTGACGAGTGTTTGTCCAGCTGCTGCTTAAAGACTGCCAGTGAGGGGGAGCTCACCACCTCCCAAGGCAGCTGATTCCACTGTTGCACAACTCTTGAATAGGTCAGGGAATTCCCCTCACTGGAAATCTTCAGGAGGCAACACAAGACTGGTTTGTTTGTTTAGCACTTTTGATGGGGCATGAACAGCAGACATCTTTTAGGTGGGAGGTTTCTTGGGGGTTTATCTGGTTTTAATCTGTGTTTAATTATTGCCTACAAGCTGCCTTAAACCAAGAAGAAAGGTGGGGAACAACAACAACAATACCCATGATTATGTAGTGCCAGAAAGACCTTCTAAACTCAGTGAGATGATTAAACGATTTATAGAAATTAGGAATGTTGCACACAGAAATGCCAGTCCTATTTGATAGGAAGCTAAGCTAACTGTTCCAGTTGGACAAAACCCCTGTTGAGCAAATATTTGTTAAGTCACTGTCTTCCCTCATGACTCCTGCCATTTTCTGCTTCCCAGCAAGTAGACAATAAGGGGTTAGAATATATATCTGAACAGGAGTTTTCCAACTGTTCCTAAATATTTGTTACATCTACTGTATTTGTTAAGGGGTGTGATCCCCATGAGATTTTGAACTAGACATTTCTGCCCAGCCTTAAAGCACATCATTAATTTCAAGGAAAATCACTGACTAGGTCTACTTCACATTTATTGGGTAAACACTCCAATTTGCATGGTGAAGAACACAAGATCTCAAAAAGAGGCAAAGATTATGAGGGAAAGATGACCTAGTATAACATTGGCTTGAGACATTGAAGTGTAGTGGGTTAGATGCATGCCTTTAAAATGATCCAGACAACTGTTTGCTCTGACTGGTAGTGACTCCCCAGGGCTATAGGCAGAGGTCTTCCTCAGCTCTGCTGCTTGAGATCATTTAAATTGACAATAACACAATACTGTTGGCTGAACATTTGATTCACAAAGGCTGGAAAGTCAGCATACCCTCTCCCATTAGTCCAGGTGTGAACAAAGCCTTACATAGTACATTTTCACCAAAGAAGTTGCACTGATACTGCTGAATTGTACTAAATTGCTGAACCATTGGAACATTCTGTCTACTCTGATGACCTAGTATAACATTGGCTTGAGACAATGAAGTGTAGTGGGTTAGATGCATGTAGAAACCACAGAGATGGTTTACTGGTACACAACAAGAACACAGAATACTGGCCAGATGGCCAACTATATACACACCTGAGGGACACCCCCCTAGGTCCCGTTGGTGGGTTCAAATCTCCCGCCACGGTCCTATTGGTTCCCAAGTGAAGAGACTAGGAGCCTAGTCAAATGTCCTTTGCCACCGTGCATCTTTTTGTTTGTTTGTTTCCTTTGCACCGAAGTCTGTAGGATCAGGTCATTCACATATTTGTCTTTCCTCCTGAGAATTTTTCTGGCCTGATGTATAGGGGGTAGGATCAGGTCATTCACATATTTGTCTGGCCTGATGTATAGAAGGATCAGACCACAAAAGGCTTCAGGAAGCAGATTACCAAGTGAAGAGGAAGAATGAATTAGCACCGTCAAGACAGAGCCATTATTCTATTTTATATTTTGCTTACTGTAGTTGAGATGCTGTGATTTATCACAAGGTGGCCCTACTGTAAGCAGAAGGAAAGTTGAAATCCTCAAAGACTCAAAAAATGTGTCTCAGAAGAGTGATAATTTTCACTTTTATGTGGCATACTTGTATAATTTTCATCTACAGAGCATACCATAAAAAGAGAACACATTTATCATGCTACTACTATGGTTATGGACTGTGCTGAGTAAGGAGAAGGAAATGTGCGGTTCAATGAATGTCAGCCCTTTGCGTCAGCAGTGCCAGTGTTGAAAAGTAAATGTTTTCCCCTAGAATGATG